CCCCTCACCCCCAAGAGAAACCGTGCCGGCGTCGATCGCCCCCATCAGTCCCCCGCCCGACTCCCGAGTCGCGGTTCGGGCGTCGGAGAGCGATCGCAGCCTCCAGAGCTCAGACCCACTCACAAAGGACGGACACACACAGTCAAGCAACCGCGACGGCCGCAATCGCCGCCATCTCGCAGTACCGCGGGTCCAGCGGCTCCCGATCGCAACGCTGAAGTACCGGCCCGGGGCGCTCGCATGCCCCCAGCGCGGGGGAGAGGGTCGTGGAATAATTATTTCGCAGCTTCTCGGACGGAGCCGTTTATTTCATACACTCTCTCGGTAGAAGGCGCGTTGGGGCGAACTTACAACTCCTCTCGTTCCCCCGTCTGATTCCCGCTCCGCGGCAACCCCCGGAATATTACAGTACGAAACTCCACCCGTACGGAACCACGAGATCGCGATGGCACGCGCGCGAAACGAAGGACTAACCACAACGGAAACATGGTGTCGCGGTCGAACGCGAGCCACGAAAGGAAAGAAAAAATCCTAATCTAGACGATAACATAAAAAAAATAACATCATGATTGACGCGCGCACAACTAAGGGCGTTTATCATAACGGGAACGCAAAAGGAAAATTTGAATCGAACAACAAAAAAAGTAAAACGAAGAAAGATCTTGATCGACGCGAGAACTAACCTAAAGACTAGTATCACACGAGAACGCAACCGAATGATCGGGATCGAACGCCAAAAAAAAGAAACAAAAGAACGCAGAAAAATCGTGATCAACGCGCAAACAAAAAAAGGAATGGTCGTGGCCGAATCGAGACGCGCGGAAAAAGTAAGAAGACCCAAAAAAAAAAGGAGCGCTACACAAAAAAAAAATAGTGGGGCCGGGCGTAGCCCCTCGGCGGCTTCACGCCCTGGGCCGCTCGGCTCTCCTCTTCGCTCACGGTGGTGATCCCGCGGCGCTCCGCCTCAGCGACGGGAGTTGGCTCCCACGCAGGGCCGGTGTGGACCGTCCGCGGCCGCGACCCTCGACGCATGGGCCCTCGGCCCTCCAGGCGTCTCCGCAGTTCGGGCAGTCCTTCAGGGTGGTGCCCCGGCGCCCGCAGCGGAAACAGAACCGCCGGGTGTTGCGGGGGCGCGGGCACTCGCTATAGTAGTGCCCGCGCTCCTCGCAGTTCCAACACCCCGGGTAGGGGCGGCGGAGCCAGTCAGGGCTGTGTGCCCTCGCCACGGCGCTGGTCCAGCTCGTCCTCGGCAGGTCGGGCGATGCGGCCCGCTCGGGGCCCGGGGCAGGACGGGCCTCCTCCTCCGGTGCGTCCGCCGGCACCGCTCGCTCGGCGCCCTGGGCCGGACGTGCCTCCTCCTCCGGCGCGTCGGTCTGCGTCGACCGCTCGGCGCCCCGGATCGGACGTGCCTCCTCTTCCGGTGCGTCCGTCTGTACGGCCCGCTCGGCCGTCGTCGGGCTCGCCTGTACCCCGACGTCGACGATGGGGCCCGCCGTCTGGGTGGCCCGACTCTGGCGTCCGCCGCTGTTCAGCCGTACCCGGCCGATCTCCTCGCGCAGCCTCCGCCAGAAGTCCGGGTTCCGCGCGGCCGCCTCCTCCAACAGCTCCGCCGTCTCCCGCAGCGCCTGTTCCGCCGACATCCTCTTCGGCCCGACGAGACGATACGAAACAATACCTACAACGCAGGTCAAGCCACATAGGGTTTCAAGTCTTTTACATGTATTTTCCCATGCGCTTTTCCCTCCGAGTCCACCACCTCGTACACCACGGGTGATAGTACCTTCGCCACGGTGAACGGCCCATGATACTTCGTGGCCAGTTTCGCTGCTACGGCATGCGCAGCGGACGACAATACATGCTGTCGCTTTAACACCCGATCGCCAATCGCAAAGCGTCGATCCCGTCGACGCAGATTATAATAATGCGCCTGTTTCTGGTGCGCCGCATCTAAGTTTTCGATTACCCAGTCTCGCAAAGCC